TTCCTGGTGTGGGCCATAGAAACGGAGATTGGAGCGGGCAGCTTCAGAGCTTGCCGTTGATTTCATCAGGGTGTGGTCTGAGATAAGATTTGTCATGATTTAACTCGCTTGCTAGGGAGAGACCCTGGGCAAATAGCTGTTAACGACTGCGTGCAGTGAAGGAAGGAGTTAAAGTTTAGCCCTGTTGCGGACGATTGCATGTGCAGCGCAGCTCTAACTCGGTACCACCACCAGCCTTTCCTCATTGTGGCAAGGCTTTTCCCAGGCAGACGAACCTAAAAATACACGAGCTGTACGGTGAGGCTGCCTCTCCTGTGGCCTGCGGGCTTTTCCCTCCCCCGATAATCTCCCCTTGCTCCCCCTTGCTAATTACTGGCAGCCTAGCAGCTCGGGTGTTTGAAAATGGAGCTGGTTCCTTCTCAGACTGTTTGCTATTGCTGAGAGCAGCGAGTGACTTGGAGAGACTGCAGGTAAAGACCCACTAAATGCCATTTTCCCTTTTGTGGGTGGGTTCTATGGGGAGTTTCAATCCCATCGCTTCACTCTTCCAGCCTCCCTTGCGAAGTGCGAGGCTATGAAGCCCTTGGGGCAGTTTGCAGCTTCGTCCCTCAGTTTCCCTCCCAGAGAAACGATGCTTTCGCTGGCCCTGGGGATGCGGACCCACCGGGGACCCCTGCGGGGCTGCTCCTGGGGCGTGCGGGGTGGTGGGGAGCGCCAGCGGGAATGTGAGCCTGCTGGGGTCTTGGTGGTGTGGGAGCAGGGTGGCAGATGGGTCAGTGGGTGCCAGATGTGCACCTTGGTGCTCGTCAGCATGTTTTAAAGCCCAGCTTCGGCTGTTTCTGCAAGGGCTGCCGCGTTGTAGCCTCGCTGCCTGTGCTGACTCGGCATCCGTCAGTGCTCTGGACTCGCTGCCGGGATGAGTGGAGAGCTGGTCCTGAATGCTCTGTCCAGTCTTTGCCTTTTAAGGTAGTTTTTTTCCATCCCAGTACTCCTGCTTTGTGCTGTCAAAAGTGATGATTATTTTCCCAAAGCGTGATCTCCCATCCCGAACCCAGGTTTCCTGGCTGTGCTGCAGGACTGGGAAACCCGCAGCCTCGGGCGATGAGCGCTGCCGCCCCTTGCCACCTCTTCGGCAGCGGGCAAGTGGGACGCGGGCGCTGGCGGGGCAAGCCGCTGGCTTTTTACTGAAAGGCTCTTTTGACGTCGGGGTGCGTGAGTGGTGGCCGTGGCGAGGCGGGCAGCCCTGTCCAGGTCATGCAGCAGCTGCGACCGTCTCAGCGTGGCTGCTTTCGAGGTGAAACCATGAGCAAATATCCTTCCTGGCGTGGGATGAAAGGGGCTGGGGTGGCTTCGGCGCTTGCGTGATTGCTTCGCCAGCGTGGTTTCTGACGGCAGGTTTCCTGCTGTGTGTTTGTGTGTCTGTGTGTATGTGTGTGCGTGGAAAACAAACAGAAGCCTGCGGTGTGGCCCCACTGCGGGGTGAGCACGCCCTGCGTGGGGATGCTCTCCGGGATGCCCCGTGCTGCATCGCTTGCTGTCCGGGCAGCGTAACGGGGTGTATTTTTGGTCCTGCTCTCCAGGTTGGCACACGTGCTTCCAGGCCGGGGTGCGTTATTTTATTGCAGTGTGTTTCAGGGCTGGGCTTGGCTCCAGGATGTCTGCTCGGGGTTTTCCACGCGTTGGGACCATGGTGGCGGTGTGGGTCTCGCTCCCTGGCAGCACTCTTACTTTGGTCCTGGGCTGGGTCCTGCCCGGGGTGAGATGCTGCTGGGGCACAGCCCCACGGGGGTTTGGGTGCTGTGTGGTTTAAAGCGCGTGCCGGCAGCAGGGCTGCCCTGCCATTAGCCATGCTGTCACCTCTCCGTGGGGGTTGGAGGCAGCGTGACGGGAGGGAAATGCCCTTTGGTCCCGCGCTGCTCCTCCCCGACTGCTCCAGAGGGCAGGGAGCTGGGGCCCTGCGGGCGCCTGTGCTGCGGTGCAGGGCTGCCTGCTGCCCCACCGCCGTGGGGTTGGACCCCACTGTAGTTCAGTCCAAGCCTCGGGTACCCAGATCATTTAATCCTGAAGAAAGCAGACAAGCTAACCTTGCCTGCTGTGGTTTTTTTTAATAATCACTGCAATGGTTTTAAGCAGGGCTGGACAAAAGCTCCACTGGTGTCAGGGCACTAGGACGAGATGTTGCTGCTAATGTATATTTAGAAGCAGAAATCTCGGAGGAGCTCTGCAGAGTGTCATCTCTCTGCTCGCCCCAGCTCTGCCTCGCTTTGCTCTGATTCCAGCTCCTGAGTAGCAGTTCCCTACATTAATTTGGGAATCTCCTGTTGGGCTTTCTAGCCCTGCTTTGTGGCAGGGGCCCGCCCTCCAGCTCTGCTGCTCCCTGAAGTAGAAGTGATGAATCATAGAAACGCACTCAGAAAGTGACCTCCCTGTCCCCTCGCCCGTCCCAGCAGGGCGGTGCTCCGGCTGGCATCCCCGCGCTGCACCCAGCTCCCACTTTCCCCTCCTCTGCCTTCCCCGCTCCTTCGTTCTGCGGCGTGTGGCTGGTGCCCCGTTCCGTGTCGACGGTGATCTCCTTGCGAGGGAGCCGGCTGTGCTGTTCCTGGAGGGGCTCAGCCCCATGGCT